CAGAAGCAAGTGGATTGGAAATTGGGATGTGGGATATGGGCTCATTCCCGGCGGGTTTGGGGATAAGGGATGAGGGAAGAGATAACATAGCTTTTACTTTCAAAATATTATTTTCGGTATCATAAGAAAGTATAATGCACATTATTCAAACTACTACTCTCAAAATGTGGTTTTGTCTTGATTTCTTGAATTAACAATGAATGAAGCATCTAACACTATTATAATACCGCTATACTAGTTTAGTGCGAATGTATGCAAAACACGACAGACCCTTTCTATTCCATATCAAAATATTTTCCTGTTGTTGTTGTTATCCCTATAATATTTAATAATACTCATTTTAATGAAAGGCGCATAATTTTATTAGTCGATAAAATGGGATGCAAGTGATTTAAAAAGTGAAGACAAAATGTAAAAGCTTCATAGACAGGAACATCAATCCCAAATCGATCACTTTTTTATGACATTTTATTACAATTTCCTGATCTATACTATATATATTAAGGCTCCAAACAGGATGAAAAAATAAACACATACTTATGTGTATTGCTTACGTCAATACTACTTACTAGACACTTTCCATTCCATACATATCCTTAATTCGCAATTTGGTATGCCATGACAAACTTTTTCAGACAAATTTAAAAGCTTCATTAAAATAAAAAAAAAATAAAAAATAAAAAAAATAAAAAAACTGAAAGATAGAGTTGAGCAGGTCCAACTCTAACATACCCTGTTTGCAATCCACAAAATAATAATTCAAAATATTTTTCAAAGTAACGTACGTTTCTTTCTATGCGTGTGAGTGTATGTGTGCAGTACAGAGTTGTGGAAAAGCAGCAATAACAAAAAAAACCTACATTTACGGCTGTAACTTTCTTAACTTTTCATCTTGAATAGAATAAATAATAATTGGACGTAATTGTCGAATTTTAGAAAAATTCCAAATATTACTGGACCTATGGAAAACACTATTACTGGGGGAGTGGCAATACATCAAAAAGGAAAAAAACAAACTCGGGCTTTCTAGGTCTTAAGGGGCTAGGACAGACGAACAGGGTTATATCGACAGATGTCGTCATGCTAATCAGGAATACATACATTTTTTGGGGTCTGCCGACTGACGGAGGCCTTTTCGTGTGAGATACATTCGCACTAAACAATTATTTTCCTTTGGGTATAGGGAAAGTTCTTTCAGCAACCATTCCTCAAGTACAGTAAAATTTGCCAGTCGCTCAAAGCCGTTTCTTCTATCATTCCATAAGACGAATCTCACTCTGCTGCAATAATGAACAATTCATATCAGCGCTATTTGCAAAACATTATTTTAGTGCGAAGATAACGATTCTGGGAATACAAAATTTGCGCGCCAAAAATCAACAAACAACTACAACACTAACAGAAAAAGTTGTTGGCAACTGCAATTCTTACAACGGGTATGGCTGTCAGAAATTTGGTAAACAAAAATCATGAAATTTATGTGCTCCCACTAAGCTTTACGCCCAACACAAAATGCAAACGATTCAAATTAATTGTCAACAATAACAAAAATATGAACAAGCAACCTCCAATCGGCACAATGTTTCAGAGTTCTGTCAAACGATATGTAAATTTGTTGAATATTTAGGCAGACATAGAAACAGAAAGACAAGAGCTAGAAACAAAAAACGAAAAATACAACGCATACAAAAATGTTTGTTTATTGTACAATTTTGTGTTGTTTTATAAACAAGCGTGGTCGCTGACATTGTCGTTGTTGTTGTTCTTCTTCTTCTTGTCGCCGCTGTGCCCCCACTACAACAATAACAAACAGTAACATCAGCTTGAAATTCACGCACACTCAGGCACTGACAGCACCCATACACACAGGCACACACGTACACACAATTGGCATACAACTATGGCGCTTTTTATTCCACACGTCCGTCTACTCGTCTGTCTTTCTGTCCACCCGTCCCTCCGTTCGCCTTTCCCTCCGTTTGCCCGCTCGTCCATGTTTCTGGGTGCGTATGTGTGTGTATCTTTATTTTACGCTTTGAATTGTTTTTATGATTTTATGTCATCATAAGTTTCTGTCTGCTTTTTCGTATGTTTACTGCGGTTATTTATTCGCTCGTCTATTTATTGAACAATTACGTTTATGATTATTAATAATTTTAATTGTTAATGTCATTGTTATAGACACTATTGCCGTGGTCGTTGCCGCAACCGTTTTCGCTGCCCCGACTCACATACACACGCCTTGCCCACCTTCAGCAATATTTGCTGTTGCGTCTTACTCTATTTACGAGTCTAAATTTAGCCATCGCCACAACGTCTAGGTCTTAAACTTCGTTCTTCTTCGCTTGGTTAAGTCTGTCCCCCTTGCTCCTATTGTGATGGAGATGTTCAGGGAGACCTATTAATAAATCATTTCAATTTCGCGTCATCCAATTGTCCGAGCAATTTATGAGGCACTTACAGATTTTTAATTGAAAAATGATTTTTGTGCTTTACACATCGAACCGGTTCGGTTAACTAGCCGTTCAGTCGGGCATTTATTCAGCCAGTTAACAGTTTGTTGAGCGCTTAGCATTTAACGCTGATTTGTACTAGTTGATGCCTAATAAAAAGCGAAATGTGTGCGAACCCGAATTGTAGAACAGATCGAGTATTCATTTTAGCAATTAAAAGATATTTAAACGAATGATCATTGAAATTGATGCATCCTGTAAGTTTTTAGCTAACTAGAGCAGCTGGTATTGGGCATTACAAAAGCTACGAACAATACTCCGTTCAGTTCACAAAATGACAATTCATCTAGTTTATCGCCTACTTTTTTTAATGCTTATATGAGCCATTGCATAAAGATCAAGTCTAAGTTTAAGGCCCTTCTGGTAAGATGTTTGTGGTTTTCGAATTCGAAGCGATATTAGGCATTGTCTGCGTCAAAACTGCATCTAGTGCACTCCACGGTGACTCTATGTTCGAGGGGCGCAACGAAAAATCAATAAGTCTCTCAAATGCTCAAAATCTTACGGCACATTGTGTGATTTTCGCTCAAAACTTGCGCTCCAAAGTGGCTGCTGCTGGCCTGCAAACAATTCCGGTTTGGTCGCCTGCGCCGACTCACCACTCACCTCAACGCTCTCTGGATGCGCTCAAGTCAACTCAGTTGCCATGACAACGCGTGCGTGTGTGCGTGTCTACCTGTGCGACACAGACACTTCGGCGGCCATATTGGATTCCATCAGTCCTGTTACGTGGCAAACACACTGCAGCCATCTCGCTCGCACCTGCAGCGCCAGGCGCGGCAAGCGTCGTAAATCTTTTTTAGGGGCGCGTGTGTCCTGGGAGTCGTGATTTATAGGACGAGTTGTAGCTGCTTATTGTACCGTGTAAATAATTTAGATTATTGTGGAATTTCTCCGGGAAGCTCTCATGAAGCGAGGAGGTTGATTAGAAGCGGTAGCATTTGCCAGCAGTGGACAGACTTTCATTTGTGGGACGTGGATTGCGACTGGCATGGGGACTAGTACATTTAAATGGAAAACGCTTTTCTCCTTATTTTTGTAGCCAACGAATTTGATGAAATAAAACGAAATAGGAATAAGGAATACAAATATACGTAGTATAGTAGTCCCAGATAATAAATGCACTTTTACACAATCGCGGTAACTATAAATTCTTTAGTATCGGGTTTGACAAAGTATTGTGATTGGAAGAATACTTGGGTACAAATTTATCTTTTGCAAACTCTTATTTGGCATTGAAGCCAACTTATCGCTAATTCACCGAAACACATCGGCAAATATCGACACACTCAGCCCATCGTAAATATTTTGTCACAATGCCGTCTCGACAGCCTAAAAAACGAATGCGCCGCGAACTCAAATTACTGTACAATGATTTACAACGGCCAGGAAATTTGCAAAAAATGCACCTTTCAAAACATTACGCAAAAGTTGTCCCTTCACTTTTGCTGTTCCGCCACACACAAGCTGCAACCATAAAAAATTGCGTCGTGGCATGAAAACCTTTTTCCGAGTTGCACTGGCCCAGAGCCCGATGCAGGCAATACCATAAAATGGCAAACGAGAAAGAAAAACCGTGCCCAAAAACAGTTTGCAAATATCGATATTTTTATTTCCGAAACGTAAACACCGAGTGAACTTCCATAGTCTGCCCAGTTTCACCGGCGAGCTAAAAATTCGCACAGGTAGCGTGGAAAATTGGTAAAAAGCAAAATAAGTGAAAAGAATACAACAGCAATCGAGAAAATTGCTCCGAAATGTTAAAAAATAGCCACAGTAAAACGGCTGTAGACGACCTGCTGCTGAGAAATGCGCTGCTGGTGCCGCTGTTGGCTTACCCTTTCCACTTGCATGCGTCGCAACGCCGGCCGGGAATCAGAACCGACCAGACAGTCAGTTAACCAGCCGAGGGCCCCTAGGGAGCCCACAGTGGATGTCCCGGGGCGCTGATGCTGGAAATTCCTCGCACTGCGTGTCGGCCGCCGCTGACGTCAGAGATATTGACCAGGGCACACCTTCAATTTCTCCCTTTCCCGGCCGCTTGTGCGACTATAGGTGGTGAAGAGCCCTCAGTTGCTTAAGCTAGAAGGGCTGAAGAAGCGGACTCGTGTAATGCATTAGCTTTCTCTCCCATCTCCATTACTTCAGTCGCAATTCAATAATTCCAGGCTGCCATCGTTGGCGATATTGTTTTTTGTTGGTTAATAAGTATTTGTTGACTCTGGCTAATGCATACACACAAATCATCTGTTGGCCATTACCAAGACGCTTTAACGATTCAAGCGCGCTGTTCTGCCCCCAAAAATACATGTGTTTCAGCCATAATGGGATGCCGAGTTCCATTTTTGTCAGTCGCCGCATCTTCGCAGCTCATTAAGGCTGGCAGAACAAAAAAGAGGAGGAAATTAATTGCTGCACAACTCATTCAATTGGCTCGTGACTGAATGACTAACGAATCTCTCCTTTCTTTGTTCGCCCTCGTTGCAGGTCCTAACGGTTGCCCACGTCGTCGCGGTAGGCAGACCTACACACGCTTCCAGACATTGGAGCTAGAAAAGGAGTTCCACTTCAACCACTACCTAACGCGGAGGCGACGCATTGAGATTGCGCATGCGCTGTGCCTGACAGAACGCCAGATCAAGATTTGGTTCCAGAACCGACGCATGAAGTTGAAGAAAGAGTTGCGTGCCGTCAAGGAGATAAACGAACAGGTGAGTCGGCGTTTCGGACTAAAGTCATTCCGAGTTCATTGACGAAAATATCATTTCATTAAGAGGGCGATTGGAAATTTTTGCTGTGATTTGCATATCGAAGCAATGTCCGGACTGTTCAGACCACGTACACATGAATGATCATAACACCTCATTTAGATCAACTTGTTCAACTTTATCTAACCGACCCATCTCTTTTCCGAACTTCTACATTCTTTAAGGCACGCCGTGATCGTGAGGAGCAGGAAAAGATGAAGGCTCAGGAGACGATGAAATCCGCCCAGCAGAACAAGCAAGTGCAGCAACAACAACAGCAGCAGCAACAACAACAGCAGCAGCAGCACCAGCAGCAGCAACAGCAACAACAGGATCACCATTCGATCATAGCACACAATCCGGGCCACTTGCACCACTCCGTCGTCGGAGTAGGTCAGAACGATCTCAAGCTCGGCCTGGGAATGGGTGTGGGCGTCGGCGTCGGCGCCGGCCTTGGCGCTGGCCTCGGGGGCAATCTGGGCATGATGAGTGCACTGGACAAGAGCAATCACGATTTGCTGAAGGCAGTTAGTAAGGTCAACTCCTAAGTGGCCTCGCCCTTCTTCCATCACTGGGCGTCTTAGTCACTCGAAAAATTGATAACTTAAACCACAAGTTGATAATTTAAATACGTAAAATTTTACATAGTAAATAGTTGGCCTAAGTTTAAATATTTTTAATGCGCGTGTACAATGGACAAGAGTACATAAAAAACACACATACAATACATGCAAGGAAACTGACTACGAACCGGGGGGCTAGTGCTTGAATTAGGCTACGGCTGAAAATTATCCCCAATCTGTAGAAAATAGCAGCTGCCCAGTTCTACCATAGGCAGGCAACGAATTATTTGAACTATATATGGTAGTTCATATTTATACATAGAATAGAAATAAATGCCTAAGTAATTCTACGTCTATGTAAATTATAAATCTAAAAGAGAAGAGAATGCGAAATATAGAAAGCTTCTTAGCCGACTCGTCAGCAAATGCTGCCGCAGAGATTTCCAAGATCTTATGGTTGAATGGCAGGAAACAAAGATCGATATTTGAAAATCCAACGACCCCGATAGTTGGTCCAATGCTAAAACAAGCGAAGCGAGTTCAACTGTAAAATTATTTGCGACTGCTGTAGAATTATGATATACAAGTATTGTATAGAAACATGTTTAACTATGTTTAATTTATACTACTATAGTGCGTATATATGCATTACATATAAATATTTAATTATATCGCATAGTCTTACCAGTCGTACTTTTGTATTTATTAGATACTTCTGCATAGGTCCATTGAAACTCTTCCATCTTGTTCTGTTTTTTGTTTATTACGAGTATATTAATTGTATCCCAGCTTTGTTTTGTTCGATGCTAAGGTCCTTAATTTGCGTAGTCAAAAGCTAAATACAATAATTTCCTCATTGCCATATTAATATTAATTAAACTACAACCTATTATGTAAAGAAATAACACACAAATATTTCCATGTACGAAAACAAAAATGTCTTGCAATAAGTAAAGATAAACGAGAAATTAATGACGAGGAATGAGAGGTATGCAACATACCTAAAAGCATAATCATGATTTCAAATACGTAATAGTAATTAAACAAACAAAAACAAAAAAAAAAAAAAACAAAAAAGATAAAGGAAAGAACAAATGTCGTTTTGCCAGTGACTAAAATTTTAAATGAATGAGAAAAACAATTTAAGTGTAATATTACAAATAGTTTGTTGGGCGCATTGCATGAACATAAGGTTCAAGTAAACTCAAAAGAATACGTATTAGATTAAGGTTGAAACAACAACAATAGATATTCGCAGCACAGGCGAGCGATTAACGACAACGCGAATGCAGAATGAGAACCCATATACGTAGTTTCCAACTTCCCAAAATTAAATTTACTTAGTATACACATAAAGCTACATACAACTATAAATCGCATTATGAATTGCAAGTATGTACAAGTATGAACATGTGCATTAATACGTATATCGTGTTTCATACGAGTACATGCTCGTATAAATAATATGCATACTTACCTTAAGAAGCGAAAGCAAGCTATCTTACATACAAACACACACTATACACGCACACACACACACAGACACATACACGCATATTTACATAGATACGTAAACAATTAACGGCAAATATATTGCAAAATACAAATATACAAATATGAACTTATAAAGATATGTACGAATATATGTAGCATGGTTAACGATATAGAAGACGGCGCGCCCTCGGGCCCACGCCGACTTGCATTTTGCCGCTCACATTTTCCGAAGGACGACACAGAAAAGAAAAAGCTGCATGAAAGTCTAATCCAAATCTCCTTTCTGAAGTGCATCCAATTGCTTTGTTTTCTGTTATTTTGGCATCGGTTGAAGTGATATTATGGTATATACTCGTACACACATACATATTAACGAGCAAAGTCATATTTAAGTTTCTAGATTTTCTCTAGGACTGATTGCCTTGTTTCAAAATTTCGATCTACTGGAATTCGGTTGCGCTCTGCCTGATTTTGTTTTCTGCTGCACATGTAATACTTATTTTAGTTAAATCAATTTCTTTTCAAAGGCTCTGTTCCAGAGCGTCTTGTTTGACACACAGCCTTATTATATTTTTGTTTTAGTATTGCGCGAAAATAGTTTTGTTAACTTTAGTTTAAGTTTAGTTGTGAACATTGTGTATTATATAATTTTATGCGATTCTAAAATGCAAATGAGAATGATTAAAACTCGTTGAAATTTGTTTTATTTTTCAAATATTTATATCCATCATGCTCATATTTGGGAGCAACAGCACAAAAACAACAAAAACCCATCCATTGCGTTGATCGACCTCCGATGGTCCGAAAGCAAGACAACTACAAGAATTAACCTAAACTCTCAACTTACTACTTATATATACGTAGAAGGGCAACAAAAAGGACAACAACAGCAGATAAACAATTTATTTATTATAGAATTAAATAAGAAAGGGCAAATATGCTGAAAAATTTTAATAATTATTAACTCAGATGACAAAATAAAACACATTTCGCTGCATGCGATAGAGGAAAGTTTACACACCGATATATACGTAATGAATTATATTCGCCTTTATGAGGAAATAGTGTTAAACAGATAGCGATAGCAAAGGATGGGAACGCGATTATATTCCAGGCACAGCAACTTTTGCCGTCAAAATTGTACATAAAATTGAGAAATGAGGGAGCGCAACAAATATACTAAACCCTATACACATTTACATTCAATAAATACGAGTATGTAATGGGTCAAGGGCGAAAACAAAAACATACACAATACATGGGAATGGATATTCCAGCAAAAAAGTGTAAAACTAAAAATACTATAAATAAAGAATATTGGCGCTACATAAACAACAATTATACGTAAGGCAACAAGAACAGTGAAATAAATAAATAAATAAATAAATAAAACCAATCACGCGACTTTTCAATGGGGTTGAAGTCGGGTAGGTGGTTTAACAACAATCGGATTCGGATCTCAGATTGTTCGAATACTCAGACCCTCTGAATGCTTTGTTCCATCAATCCCACCCAGTCGGTCTGCCTAGTTCTACTTATCGTGTTCAGTAATCCGTTTCTGCTAGACCTTCTAGATAAATTAGGTATCTAACAGTAGGACTAAGGACTAAGTACAGACAAGAACTGATAGCAAGTAGCAAGCCACTTTAAGTTTCTAGCTAACGCCCCAGCTGAATGCTTTAATGAGTCGCTAGAAGGACTAGCATTTTGTATCTTTGATTGCCGCCAGCAATTACGCCGACATGCCTTCATTGAACTCTCCGAATACTATTCAATGGCCAGATGATTTGCAAGCTATGGTGATGCATAAATTTTCCCTTCCCCAATTGCCGAGCGCATCGTTCGCATGACTGTTGCAAATATTAATTAAAGCGTTCCGGCTTATAGAAATTGATTTCGTGGCTCGGGCCTCAGAAAGGACTTAAGGATCCCTGTGGTCGTCGCATTGCAATTCGAAGCGATTGCCACGTACCGACGAAATGTTGCAAAACGCCTTTAATTAAATTTAATTAATGCGGCAACAACTCAACGGATTATGATAATAAGCGCACACATAACGGCATTTATGGCGCACACATGTGCACAAAGGAGCAGCAGCGTGCAGCCCACTCTCTCCTTAAGGGGGGTGGTGGGGATGTTAGGGCTGAAGTGTCAGGGTAGGGGCGTGTTCGGCGGAGTGTAAGGTTCGGGGAAGACGTCATGTCGCTTGGAGCAACGACAGCGTAATGGCTGCGCCAACGAGCTGCGTCTTCAGCGGAAACGGAAGCACGCAAATGGCTCATGTATGCAATAAAAGAAACTTTCGAAAACGTCAAAATGGCGTTCCAAAGATTGCGCCATTGATGAGTGAGGGCGGGCGGCATAGTGTGCCTTTCCCTTCATCTTCGCCATGCTAGGCACGTAGCTCTGCTGCGTCCTTTGCCGGGCGCAAGCTCGCATTTATATGTTGTTATTAGAAAAGTTTCTCAAATAAACTGGCCCGAAGGCGATCATCGACTTGATAAGGCAGCATTTCCGCTATTTTATTTCATATGCACGCACAAACACACTCATGTACGTTATGCATGTGGATTGGCGAGTTAAGCGCTTAACACCTCAATTACAGCTGTGCACCAATTAGGACATGTGGCAAAATTTGTATGGTTTCCAATTTTAAGCGAATTGTTCCACTAATTTTCATTGACACACATTTTTAAAGATATGATAGAAGTACAGCCTGTCAAATCGACTCCTGTAACTAAAACACAGCCTGTTTGAATTCATTTAAGTGCTAATATACTTTCAATTTACATACGATATATGTATAAAAGTCCATGACTCACTTCAAATGGCCGATACTGATATCTCCAGTACAGCTTTACAATCCGGTAAAGTACTCTGTACAGAATAATTAAATAAATTTAACGAAATTATCAAAATTTGGAAAAAGAACAATTACCAAAGCTGTACAACAATTTGTTCGTCGATTCGAGATTGCACATTTGTATTGGAATTGTGCCTATGTGAGTGAGGTTGTGTGCAGTTCCGTACTGTTAAGCTAAATTAGCAATAACAACAACACCTGTGGATAACTTTCGGAATTGCCCGATCACGATGAAGCTAAGCACTAACCGAAAGTATTTGCAAAGAATTACAAGAGTTATGGAAAATCAGTAGTAGCGGGAGCGTGAAGAGATAATAGAAGATTTTAGAATACCCGTCTACTGCGTTCCCACTCAGAGTCTCTGAGATGTAGGAGTTCAGACAGACAGACAGACAGGCATTACCTAATCAACTCTACATACAACTAGACATACAAAATTTGTTCATTTGAGAAATGCTCTAATAAATAATACCCAGTTTGCCTATCAAGATGAGAAAATGATGTTATGAAGAAATATGAATGACAAACAAAAATTTAAAGAACTACCAGTGTTATATAAAATCGAATAGCGTGTTGGATGAAAGGCTCAACTAACGTTCCGAACTGAGAAGCACCTGCATACCAGATAGAAACAAGTATCGTAAAATCCTAAAACACCTTTGATTTTTGGAAAGTCTATAACCATCTTATAAGTTCAATAATATAGACAGAGAAGAATAATTTTACTGTTCACCCGAAATGTTGTCTTTTTCGAGACGCTTTTAAGATTTAAGTTAAGCTATTTATATTATTGTGGTAATGTGTTGATATTCATAATTTTAGTTAAACTATAGTACTGGATAATTGAAAGCACTTCCCAACTGAGGGACCGTTTTGAAAGACCAGAAGCTGACTAATCTCAAAAGCGGCAGTATTACCGATTTTCTGTCGTGGTGCACCGACCCCAGACAACTGCGCGATTCTAACGCCAAATCTCATAAACTGTGACACTTTATGGGATTCAAATTCGTTGGCGGGCAGAACGGTGCAGTTAAGGAAGAAATATTTTGACATGTCAAACAACGCCGCAAAGCGCTGATCCTACTTTAAATTCAGCGGTG